AAAATTCCTCATTGGTCCATCAAGTTTTTCGTCATGAACTTTCAGTCCTCCAATTGGCATCAATCTTTTCCTCCATTTGGCAGTCCTACTCGTCATGAGGCCGTTGACCATCTATTCTAGCCCCCCTGCTACAGGCACTGAAAGAATCATGGACATGTGTAATGCCAGTTCCCATTTGACTTTATTACACTGCTTGTGAGTTCCCTCACAATCTGAAAGCATTTGTTACTCATAATAATTTGAGTTATCTGTATCTTTCTCACACAAGATTCCTATGATCGGAACTGATATTTTGATATTGGTTCTTCATCTCATATGACCCCTTCAGCAGGTAATCTCCTGTCTCATTCTTCCTACACTAATTCTTATCACTTCCAGGTTACCAATGTTGCTCTTTTTCCCATTTCTCACATCGGTCACTCTCACCCTATATCTCCCTCTTTTAACTTTCATTTCTGTAATGTTCTTGTTGCACCGGATCTCCAAATTACTTATCGTTCATAAATTTTTTCAGCTAAACACTGTAGTCTCGAATTCGATCCTTTTGATTTGTTCTGTTAAGGAACTTCAAATGAAGAAGAATTGTCTCAGCTGCAATAGTTTTGGTGGACTCTATGCTATACCTCCATCTGCACATGGTGGTTGTAGTTTGCTCTCACAGCCTCTTCAGTTTCTTCTCAGTTATGGCATCAACACTCAATCACCTGAGCAATTGTTTTATTTATTTATAAACTGATATGACCATCTCGTTCTTGAATTGGTATGGCTCCCTGTCATGCATGTCAATTAGGCAAGCATGTTAGACATCACTTTCCTAATTCCCATGGTCATTCTGTTCGAGTTAGCATGGGAGAAATGTGTATATTGTGTGTGTGTGTGTGTGTATATGTATGTATGTTTGCATTTATATTTTTATATCATTATCTATTAGTTTCACTTCTAAATTTTTTTTTTTTTTCTATATATTGTAACCTTTGTTCTTTTGTTGGTTTCTTAGTTTGTCCCACTACTTTGAAAAGGATATGTAGGCAACATGGAATAAAACGCTGGCCTTCTCGAAAGATCAAGAAGGTTGGCCACTCCTTACAAAAATCCAACTTGTGATGGACTCAGTCCAAGGTGCCTCTGGTGCTTTTCACATCGACTCTTTCTATTCAACTTCCCAGAATTGGCATCTACAAATTTAACGGGAATCAGCCATTTTCAGCTTTAAAGACTGATGATGATTCAAAGTCCTTCAACAGGAAGCTTGAGGGTGTCAATCTCAAACCCCAGGCTGCTGCATCTAAATCACTCTCTCCTTCCTGCAGTCAAAGCTCCTGTTCTAGCCAATCTTGTTCCAGTGGGACACAGCTGCATCCTCAAGCATCGCATGTTGCAGGTCATGAAGATCCAATTGTCAGGGAAAATTCCAGTGATAGTGTACTTGAAAGGGCTGGAAGTGATGCAGAGCTGCACATGTCAAGTGATGAAGTACCAAGCTCCTGCCAAGATCCCATAGCCATAAATCTCTTAGTGACCACCCTAAATCAGATGCCCTCTGCCCATTGCAAAGAATACAGGTGGAAACTCCCAAAGAGGCATTCAGAGATTTAAAGTTTACATATGGGGAAGAGAAAATCCGGTTCCGCATGCAGAATAATTGGGGATACAAAGACTTATTGCAAGAGATTGCCAGAAGGTTCAGGATTGGTGACACCAAAGTGTTTCAGCTCAAGTACTTGGATGATGACTCTGAGTGGGTATTGTTGACATGTGATGCTGATTTGGAGGAGTGTATCGATGTATGCCAATCGTTAAGGAGCCAAATAATTAAGCTCGCTCTCTGTTCAGATTCACAGAAAATTTGAGAAGCTATATGGGTAGCAGCAGCCCCTTGTGATTATCGTAGAAATGAGTACTATCAATGAGGTTGCAGTTTGATGCTGTTTAAATCGAGGAGGATCGGTGCGCATCATGGATAGCCGGGAGCAGATTTTGTGAGGCAAGACTGTGAGGCTAGTGAACGTGCTATGGCAGCACTGAGACGTGGAGGAGGCGACATGAGAGCGTAAAGACACTATACGTACCAATTATCCATTCCTATTCGAGGATGGAGGTACATTTCTTCAATTTTATGTGTAATATTAATGTTGCATATGCATGCGATCAAGTGTGTATGTGTATGTGTATGTGTATGGGACAAAATTCTTTTAAGGAGGGAAGAATGTAAAACCCAGGTAAATTTGAACTTTTAACAAAAATGGGCAAAATAGTAATTTGCCAGCACAGTATGGGTTGTAAACCTGAATTTTTATAGATCTTGGATGACGAAATGGACCTTATCGTTAGATTTGTCTCGTAAAATCTAGCTACCCCATCAATTTTTGTCGAATTGCGAGATAGTCAGATTTTTTACATTTTATGAGGAGGCGGTCGAGTCTCGGGTGACCCAAAAATGAGATTTTTAATAAAATTTTTAAAGTTAAAAAATAAATTGAGGCAAGTTAAAATAAAAATATTTTGAATTTAAACCGGAACAGAATTTAATCGTTTCGAGTTAAAAATGGACCCAAAAAAAAGAGGGTCGTGTGGCACGTTGTGGGCCAAGTATTCTAAGGGTATAAATAAGGAGAAAATCTGATTTCTCCCCCACTTGTGTTCATTTGTTACCTAATAGAGAGAGAGAGAGAAAGAGAAGAAAAGGGAGAAACTCTATCTTCTCTCTACGATCTACAGATCTTGGGTGCTCGAATTCATTCGGGCTAAGAAGGAAAGTTGTTCCTCACGTCGTAGGCTACAAAATCATACCAAGGAGGTCGAGTTTGGGGAGATTTTAAGGACAGGATTTTGGGGAAAGTGAAGATTCAAGCTTGTCTTGGGTTCTTTAGGCTTTCCAACGTCTTTTTATGCTTCAAGAGGTAGAGTTCCTTCCTACTATGATTTATTTTACAATCTAGGGTGTTTATATGAGAAGGGTAGGTTGATAGAGATATATATCACTTGCCTATGTTGTGAAATTGATAAAACGGGTATGAAAATGAGTATAGAAATGATTTAAAATAAATTCCTAGTATGAAATTGGTATGTGGTAATTACTTGTTTGATTACATGGAATTTGGTATTATGTGGGCATGTTATGTGTTTATATTATGACTTGTGAATGAAGTGTGTTATTGACATATATTATGTAATGACATGCTTAGAATATATTTTTGAAATAAAATGTTGATATTTGTTCATTATTGTCCTAATTTGATATTGACATTTTACGTGCAAGTATACACGATCAACAAATAATAAAGTAATAATTAGAGTATCGTTCCTATAGAGAATTATTGCTAATAATATTTAAGTACTAACTTTGTATTAATTCAATTTTATTTAAACAATTGGAATTAAACTATGGAATGACTATGTAGAGATTTGAAAAGTAAGTAAAATTTTTTCAGTTTTGCCGGTAGGGCACTATTCATGCACCATTTGTTGGTAGGACACTACATATGTATTATTTAGGTATAAGTGATGTTTATGAGCATAATTTGAGTATGTTATAGAAGAGAAATATGCTTAGAATGTTAAAATACACATACTGTATGAATTTGAGCCTAAACAAAATAATTTTAAAAATTAGACACAAAGGGTATCCCGGACGGCCTAGATGGAACCGGCCAAACCCGGCCACTAGCAAAAATATATTTTTTTAAAAATTTTCATTTAAAATAATTTTAAGAACTTTGGTTAAAATAAAATGTCGAATTGTGGCGTTTCGGGACGAGTTATAGTGTAACGGTGTCCTGAATTCATCAAGGCAAAAGAGTCATTTTGCACCTTTACCCCTCCACTATAAATATAGTCCCCTTAGTGTAAAAATATCAATTTTTGGGCTGAGAAAGGTCTGTACACGTTTTTGGAGGAAAAATGAAGAAAAACCCTAGGTTCTTGAAACTTAAAGCCACCAAAACTCATTCTTAGGCCAAGATTTTTGCAAGACTTCCTTCTAAGAAGTTATTCCTCTCAACAAGGGCTACATTCTCACCAATCGGTTCGGTTATAAAGCGAACACAACTCTCTTGGTTTGAGAAAAACTATTTTAGGTATGATATTTTGCTAAGTTGAGAATAGATTTAAGTTTTCTTGTCTTCGTATGTGTTGATTGAATGATTTAGGTGTTTACTTGATGTTAGAAAATCATTTAGTTGGTAGTTGCTTTGAAAGCTTAAAAGTTGTGGTTTAAGTACTTTTACATTCTTTGAGTTTCTTGACAATTTGTTGCTATGGTGAAGGTGTATATTGCTTATGTGTTGGATTATTATATTATAACTTATGTTCATGTAGAGAAACTTTTGTGGTTTGAGAGTTATGATTTATTACACGAGTTGGTAGTTTGTGTATTTGTAGTTTCTTTGAGAAATTGTGAAAGTAATGAATATGAAGCTTGATCATATGTTTAAATCCATCGAATGGGCTTCACATTCATGTAAGTAAGGTGTTTGATGAAATATTTCATAGAATTACATTGAGAAAAATCATGGTATCTTGGCATACATGAATCCTTGGAACATAGTGTGGGTTGAGCACTTGGTGCTATACATTATAAGGGTGTAGATCCTATAGTGAAAAACCCAAAATCTGGCTAATGACAGTACTCACGGGCTGATAGGGCGGACCGTGAAGCGAGACATTGGTGACATAAAGTTGCATGGGTGTGTCATGCATATTGTCATTGCATAGCATTGAGGGATTATGAGATTGTAGTTTTTAAAATGTACACTTGCACATGCCACGCTTTAAATTTGTTCCTAGCATTAGCCTTTTATCATACCAACAGTTGAGCTAACCTATTCGCGGAATATCATATTACATATGAGGCTCCCGGTACTTAAGACTTGAGGAAGTCTTAGAGGAAGGAGAGGAAAGGGACTTGAATGTATATTTGGCCATTGGACATATTTTGTATGTATGGGCATAAGCCCAAATGACTTGTATTCTAGTTTGAAAAAGTAGTAGATTAAAAGTCTTGGACCATTTTAATGTGTAAGAGTGTAAACTCAATTGATATTTGAGATGTCTTTATTTAATGAGTATCATATGTGTATATTGGGGGCAATTATATGTATATGTTGAGAATAAGAGATGTATGTTTAATTTACATGGGTTGTGGCCACCGAGTGAGGGTGAGTTGTGATATAATAAT